CGCGGATCCGCGCAGCGGCCCAGGCGGCTCATTCCGCCGCGCGCGCCTCGGCGAACGCCCCCGCGCCAGCCCGCGGCGCCGCCTCCGGGCACAGAGCAGAAGAGCTGATTGGCTGAGGCTTCGGATTGACAGGCCTGTGCGCCAATCGGAAGCGAAAATGGGAAGCGCGTAGGAGTGTGGCATGGAGTGCCTTGGGCAGAATTTGGCCGCCATTTTGAGTGTGGCGCGCAGCAGCTGTTGATGCGGTGTATATGGAATTTTGCTTGCTCAACAGTTTAAGTTAAAATTAAGGTCAAAATCCAGCCTGTGAGCAAGTTCTTTCACGGGAGAGTACAGTGGCACTTGTGCATGTACTGCTTATATGCAGCAGTGCTGCACCTCTTAAGTGTGTATCCATTACTTAAGCACAACTTTTTTTTTCTTTTTTTTTAATTTGAAGACCACACCTAAACTTTTATTATTTAGCAATGCTCTCTAACAGAGGTGAACAGACTTTTTAAAAAACATATTACTTACTGAGGAAAATTAGAAATTGAACTCTTTCATCCATACATTTCCCAAATAACTTAACAGACTTTTAAAGTCTGTTTGTCAGATGTACAATTGCCTAATAATCTTCTCCTAAAAAAACGCATTGCACCTAACATAAGCCTAAAATCAGTGTCAGAGGCCTGAGCCTATCTGGCCCGCGTGGCCATTCCTGTTAATGTGCTCCAGCTTGTGCAGCAGGTGAGATCCCAATGCGTATGGGAGCTTGCGGGAAGTCACCTCATCCCAACCCTGGGACTATGGCAAAGAAGACAAAATTGACCCATTTAAGATGTTTATGAGCAGCTCTCTAGGATCCTTATGTACTAGCTGAACCCCCATGCAATGCAGCGAACCTGGGATACCTGGAACCATCAGCATAGGGAGAGTTGCAAGGAGGCTGATGATTCCTAAAAAACAGCCTTTTCTTTTCCTTAGGGTCAAATCCAATGCTTTTAGCTTTCAAAAACCCAAAGTGGAACCACTTTTATTCCTTTCACTTTGACAACCCTCTCAAATTGGCCTCAGCTATTATTCTTACAACAGTTTCCTTACATAAACCACAGGCTACAAGATACCTATTGTGTTCACCTGCAGAAAACTTGGTGCTACAATCTATAAAGTTTTGTGAAATACAGGGTTCGTTCTGAAATCTGCTACTCCCTTTTTCTCCTGGGGAAAATGATTATCTGCCTCAGCTGCTGTTTGATAAAAGGAAATGAGGCTCTTGAGGGCACTAACAGCCCCTCATAGTCCCCACCTGCTTCCCCTGGAGTCACTCCCATGGGCCTATTTCAGTTCTGCCCATAGTGGCTCCCTTTTCTTCAAGACTCCTCTGCCCATGTTGGCTGGGGATCATTTGGATTTAGACCTGGGTCTGGTTGGACTGGCTCACTCTTGGGCCTACCTCCCTAGAGAAGCCTTGTTGGCCATTGCTGCCTTGTCTGACCTTGGTTTTCCCCTTTGGGCTTGTTTCTGGCTTGTGTTCTTTCCTTGACTTTGTGCCTACCTTGTTGCTGTGGATCTTCCTGAGATCCTGGACTCCTGGCTGCTATTCTGCTGGGATGCTATGGGATGAGTCCTGGCCACCAAGGTCTTGGCCTGATGCCCAAGGTGGGGACTATGTAGAGGCCACCTCCTCCTTGCTGTTCCCCAACATTGCCCCATGCAAACCCAGCTGGAGATGCAGGAGGGAGGTAAGTGCATCATTTAGGTCTAAGCTTTTTTTATGTTGTTATTATTACTTCCCATTAAATATCAAAGACTTTGAGCTTGGCATGCTTGGAGATGGGTGAAAGATGTGCTTAAAGAGGGAAATATTCTTTGGTTTTTGTTGGGAAGCTGAATGCTCTTATCTGAAAACTGGAGAAAGAAATAGGCTAATTGCAGCTTAGCAACTGTTAACTTTTGTCTCCAAGCAAAAAGATAAGACTATAAAGAGGTAGAAAAGTTAGTCTGATCGTTTGATTTGTTTTCTTAATCAGTTCAAATGTTAAGTTAAAAATTAATAAGAAAAAAAATCAGCTCAGGACTTAGTGTTTTGAATGCAGGCTGAT